CCTATGATAAGAATCCTTAAAGTAACAAGGAAGTGACAAGATGATATGAAGACATAAGCAGAGATAGGGGAGATGTAGCCACAAGCCAAGGAACATCTGGAGTCACCAGAAGCTGGAAAAGAGAAAGGATTTTCTTCAGGACCTTCTGAGGGAGCAAGCATGGCCCTGCCCACAACTTGATTTTAGAATTTTGTTTGTTTTTTGAGAAATAATTTTACTGATAGCAAATAAATGCATGCAAATTGTTGGGGGAAAATGAAGTAAAAAAAATAATTGTGCACAGTTTCCTCACAATATCACATCTAAAAGAAATTGCTATTTTTCATTTTACATGTTTCAATCTTACTATTTAATTTTGGTTTCTGCTGTTGTATTTACTGTTGCATTATAGCAATCATTAATATCATCCCCTATTTCTATATCAATGCACCACTCCTTCTTCATCAGACAATAGTTACAGTAAAGAGGGGCTTCAAGGGCTCCTCACACTTCTACATGTGGAACGGGACCACTCCATTTACTCCCCAACTCACTAAAATAATTGACCAGGATTCCAGCCCCAGTAAGTGGACAACAAGTAGAACACACACCTTTCTATAGAAAATTCTCTGGGCACACCACAGCACACCCTATGTCCCAGCTGACTTCAGGCATCTCAACCCGCCCAAGCCTCATCTTCTCATTAGACTTCACCCCCACCACGCCCACCCTGAAGGTGGAGCCAGCCCCCAGCTTCCATCTGCCTAAATTTAGTCCTCAAACATTCACCCTTTTGAACTAATTCTTTCTTATGTGAGGTTAAATGGCCCCACTGACTGTCTCCAATGACAGCCCATTTTCCCATGTCTTTGCCCAGCTCGCTGGTGTCACAGCTCTGTATTATTTCTCTGTGGCAAGAAATGTGAGAAAACCACAGGGGTGTATTGCTTCATTACAGCTTTCCAAGGTTCATGAAATAAAAATAGCTCTAAATGAAGTTACATTAGAAAGCACTTGCATTAAATATCAACTGCTAATGAGTACCTTTTCAAGACTGCCCCTGAAAAGCTGAGCTTGTCACCCATGAGCAATTGTTTTTAAGATCAGTGAGGGGAAGAAAGGGCTTCCGCCCTGGAAACCAGGGCGGCTTCCTTTGGAGATGGATGTCAAAGGGTGCAACCAGGTTAGTGGGGAGCTTCAATTATTGGTATAAAAAAGGAACTTATTTCCCAATAACTATCACCCAGAGATAGTACGTCAAACCCATCTGCCTCTTCACTAAGTTCCATAATGTTTTAGTCACTTTCGATTTTTAAAAATGTCTTAGTTGAGACATTTCCCAAGTGTCGACATCAGGCCTGTTCGTGTTTAAACTTTAATTTCATGTATGATGCAAAGCCCTTTCTTTACCCCATCCCCCCAATCTCTCCTCAGTGCTAACTTGGGATGACCTCTGTTTCTAGAAACTTGGGTTGGGGTGGGGTAGAGTGGGGTGGGCTGGGGCATCGTGGCCCTCACACATTGCCTTACACTTCCCTGTCAAGGTAGGAAAGAAGAAGAGGAGAACAGCTACCTTCTTTCTTGACTGAGCAAAGTGACAGTGAATTCCAGGGACATCCAGGGCTTACACTGTGGGATGCCCATGAGCTAGTGGTCACTGCAACCTGCTCTGTTATGAGGGCCTCTCCCAGCACCCCGAGCAGGTGCCACCATTATGGGGAAATGTGGTGACCACCAGTGCATGTGGGATTCATCCTCGGCACCTCCAGGGAGTGGACGAGCTTGGCTCCCATCTTTGCCTGGGTTCCATCAGTCCCCCGAACACAGTGATGCCATTCCTGATTCTCTTTCCCTCATGCTGTGGCCATACAAAGGCAGAGCAGGGGCTCACCTTGTAGGCAAAGATCCAACTAGGGGACGATACGCCACTTACTCTCCCCCAACTCCTCCCTCATCCTCATCAGTGGTTCTCCTGAGAACATCTACCCTCATAGCAGGACCAGACGACACCCTCTATATCTCTTTACATTAGATGGTCTCATCAGACAGACACTGCATCATACCACCCAAAGGCAGCCTCTCCTCTCCTAGATCTCTCCTTATATCAAGTCCAGAGGAGTAAGAGAGGAAAAAAAAAAGACTGGGAGGAACTCTGAGTCAATGTTACGACAACTCGATAAACCAACATGTTTTCAGTCATCCGTGTGGATAAATGGCTGCTTCCCGCTTTGGCATCTAGATTTAGTACATGGGTATAAGTAGACTTGAATTCTTAACATTGACATCCTGAGACAAGAGAAAAGACAGAGCATTTGAATTTATGCAGAGAACCAAAGAGCAAAAGGATAAAAGAAGCCTACAGGGCTTATAGGACCAGCAAGAGAAACGCAACAAAAGACTCCCAGAGGAGAAGAGAAAGACAATGGGACAGAAAGTCCATTTAAAACAATAATGGTTCAAAACTTCCCAAGCTAGGGGAGAAGCTTTCCTTTTCTCCTCCTGCTGTCATCAAGCGACTCAGTTCAATTTTTCTTTCCTGCGCCTTAATTACAGATCAGGCAGACCTCAGAGCTCCTCAACCTACTTGATGGCCAGGCATGGGGAAAAAAGGGCAAGACATAAATGATGAGGGCTGTCATATCTGCTTACTGGTGACCTGGGTTATGATAGATCTGGAGAAAGAAGCCGTTTTGTTGTTGTTTTTTCATGGGGCCACACTTGCAGGTTCTCCCTGAGAAAGCACTCTCTGGGCAATTTGGCCTGTCCCTGTCCCTGATATGGATTGTCTCTATCACTCAACCCTGACCAATGTCCCCAACCTCCTCAAACCCAGCCAGCCCAGATAGCTAAAGACCCTTTCTGCCGGGACACCTCACCCCAGCTGGCAGCCAGTATGAGCAGGATAGGGTCTCCCATGACAGCCACCTGAGCTAGACTGTCACTCTTCCCTCACACCTTCTTTCTTCCAGAACAGGTGGCTTTCGTGTTCTGCTGCCCTAGTGCAGGCAGTTCCAGCCACTTTCTCTCTTCCAGATTTTCCAGGCAGGAGACAATCACTAGTCTCAAATTAAAATGTGTCCTCAAATTCATAGGGTTCATGACTGGCATTTTCCAAGTGCTCTCACCATGCCCCAAGTCAACACTCATGCCAGGACAGACATAGGAGTTTCTGCAGCTAATTAAGCCTGTAGCCAGTGAGTGAGATACTGGTTTCCTTTTGGCATTTTCCAATGTTCCTTCTTGCAAGTTCAATCTCTGTGAGCTATTGTATTTCCTTGAAACCTTCTATCACTTGGTTAGAAGGGGGAAAAGATGAAGACAAAACCTTCTCTGTCCTTACAACTCCCTTTTGAGACACTCCCACTCACCTCCTATGCAGACTGGAGGTTAGTGACCGATACCTTTCTGCTATCTTTGCATAGGTCCTGCCTGGATGAGTCTAGTATGTCCTCTCAGAAAGTGTGGGTACAGCTCCCCTATCATCCTTAGTTTTGAGATTTTAGCTGAAATTCAGAGGCAACAGCATATGCCCAACTCAACTGCTTATTATATTTGGAAAATAAATTGATGGTTCATTCCAAGAGTAAAGAGACATTTCACTCTGTTTTGTTTGATCTTAGCTACCAGGTGTCCAGAAGTCCTTTAGGATTGTCTTTTTTGTTTTTTAGAGATTTTTTTTTTTAAGATTTATTTACACAAGAGCCAGGGTACAGGCCAGATGCATGGGAGGGTAAGAGAATTCACTAGAGACAGAGTGGGGAACAGAACAGGCAGACTGACAAAATACACTGCTGAGGGGAGCAGCAGGTGGGACAGGAGAGGTCTGCTGCGCCATGTGGGACCCTCGCCAGCCCACCGGGATCAAACCAATGCTGCACTCAACCACCTGTGCCACCAGGGGAGGCCCTCCTTTAGGATTTTCATAATTCTTCTTAGAGAATAGAGAAGAAAGAGCCAGAAATGGAGTCTCAGCATTAAGATTCCTTTTTATCTTTGCTCTGTGTGAGTAACCAACTTGAACTTATAAACTAAGTACAGACACTGCAAGGTAAATTAACCTATTGTTTTTCTCCTTTATTAATCTTTGGCTAGTTAGATGCTCCAAGAAACTAAAATTGGATAGCATAACAAAGGCCATGAAAATGATGCTCAAGTGCATTCATTTTTTCTTAAGTAAAAAATCTGGTGTGTGTGTTGGGAATCAGAGATGGGAAATAAAGCAAGCAAGGTGTACCATCCATTGACTGAAAAGTAGTTCTTTACCAAGCATCTGTCATATGCCAGGTACAGTGCTAAGTTCTGAGTCCAACTTACCTAATTAAGACTGGACTATTGCCTTCATATTTGTTCCTTAAAATAGTAGCATCCTTCACTTTGTGAGACAGCAAAATTTGCCTCTGTTGTTAAAGATGTAGCTTTCCTACATTTCCTGGCATTGAATGGAAATCAGGATGCAAACCATGTTGCCCAATAAGATCTGTGAACATGCTTGGTCAATTAATATTCTTTGTCTGCATGTGCAGCTTATGAAGATTCTGAGTGCAGTTTGAAGGCAGCTGTGAAGTAAGGAACCAAGAGGTGCTTTTACTTCCTGAGTGCTCAAGCACCTCCATTCCAACTAGGGTTTCTGCTTCATTAGCTGTCTGAACTCGCGTTCTGTTTGCTCAGTGTGGGCAGGCCAGAAGGCTGACAGGTGACCAGCCAACTATAGATGGGAGTATTTGTCACGAGGCTGAGGCCAGAAGAAGGGCTTCTTCTGAGTTATGCTTAGGGCTTAGAGCTTCTTTTATGAGTTATGCTCTCATAAAAAATTACAAACTTCCATGGACTCCACTTAAGGGTTTTTGAATATTAGATTCATTTCCTCCTAATATGCAGTGATGCAAAGGGGTGGGTGGAGATTGGGATAGACTGGCTAGAACTGCATGCAAAAAGGGGGGAGCAATTCTTAGCATTGCCAGGTTCCTACTGCATAAAGGCATTAAACAACTGCTTACAAAATAAACAAAGCTCATAAATACCTATTTGATTTGCACCTGTGTCTCCTACCAGGCTCAGATGTAACTGGATAGTAAATCCAACTGTCAGGCCAAAAAAAAAAAAATTGAAGTGAAACACTAATTTTTGTGGTTGTTTTTTCCTAGATACATCATATGCAGCATAGCTCTTTAGCCAACAACCCCTTGGAGGCAGCTTTCCTTAAAGCTTGTCACTACTGCTTCTATTAGTAAGCTTTAGTTCAACTCAAAAACTGCAGTTAAGTTACTAAAGAAATATAGTATGGAATGAAATAAATCAGCAGTTATTCAATGGCATGATTATATGCTAAACAAGCAGTAAGAATTAACTCATAACATTTATTATTCTAAGAGATATAATGAATATAATATATAATGATATTATTAGGAAAAAATATATATAAGACAGGATTTCTACTCTTAACAACCTAAAACCTTTCAAAAAAGGCCATTCTTTAACATACTTTTTCTTACAGAAAAACCAGCTACAAGAGGAATAGATATTTGGATGCAGTAATTATGACAAAAAGGCCATCTTTACATCAGGTTTACCCACCTGCTGTATGTAGGTATGCAATTGCACTCTGCTTCATCCTTAATGAGGTGGACAGACACGTTTCCCAGGTGACCTTTGTCTCCAAGCACTACAAAGGTCCTTAGGAAGGAGAGCCAGTGTTGTCGACCCAGGATGAGCACCTGAGCTGGAAGCAGGACTGGCTTCCTCGTGTCTGCATGGTAGGTTCATTTTCCCATGAAAGGAAAGGACATTACATAATCCTCATCAGTGCAGATGGCTGTTCTGCCTCCAACAGCATGTGCATCGTTGTGAGAGCAGTGGCTTTAATCTCTAAAGAATACACCAAATAAAATGCATTTCTTTAATGAAGAAAGACAGTTTCTATGTGATGCATGCTCCAAATGACAAGCTATATTTGGCAGTTAAGGAGCTGGCCTGTAATATGAATATGCCTGAGAATGCAATTTACTTTTTATCATCCTTGTCCAGGTCATGAATTGAAATCACAGTAGGAGCACAAGGCTGCCAGGACTACAGCTAAGGAGGAAAACCTGAATTGACTGCCAGAACATTCATACCCAGCCAAGAAAACATGCCAAGTGAGTCTTACAATGAAGCTTTCCTGTCCACATAGCATACATTCAGTCTAACAGAGAAAATAATTCTGCCCCATTCCCCACCATCCCTCCATCATAACATTTGAGCCTTTGGAAAAAATAAACCACAGTTACATTTACATAAAGTGATTGTGATGATGTCCACTGAACTGGTTGATCCTTCATTTTTCTCAGGTGGCAGGTAGAAGGGAGTCTGAGACCAGGAATTTTATTTTGGTTCTGCTGACCAGTGGTTGATGTTGAACAAATTACCACCTTTTAGAGCTTCAGTTTTATCAGCTGATAAAGGAGGAAAAGACATGACCTGCCCATTTTACCCAGGTAGTATAAATCGTCTTTGCTTTTCCTTCTAGAAAAATGGGATTGCCAGACTCCTCTGTCACTTCTCATTTATTCCCCAACTCAGAACTGACCCTCCACTGCAAGGCTCTCCAGAGGCCATGCTATGAAATCTAATGATACTTTTCAGGCCTTCACTTCCTCCCACTTATTTCTGGCAATATTTGAACACGCCTGCTGTCCCGACCCGCGGGGTTCAGAGGCACGAAAAGAGAAGGGCTGAGGATTGAAATGAGGGGCTTGACGACTTGACGCTAGCGTTTACTTCTTTATTTTTCCTTTTACTACTTTTACATATCTTTCTTTTCCCTGACTTTCTTACTTCCCTGACCTTCTCTCTGCTCCTCTCGCAATAACCTCTCTCGCAATAACCTCTCGCAATGACCTCCTGACCTTCTCGTGGTTCTCCTCTTATATCCTGGTAGCTCCTCCCATCGTACCTCCCAATCTCATTTGATTAATAGGAAACACCTGTGGTTTCTCAGCAGGCAAAACGGTAAAGCGAAAACTAATTAATGGCACGTGTGTTGCGCAACACGGCGCATGCTCCAGGCGGCTCCGGACATCTCCCCCTTTTTTCTTTTAAATGAGACACCTGGCCTGTCTTAGGTTGGCATATTCCGTGACCAGCCTTACCCGTCATCGCTAATCCGGCGCACTTGGTCCGGACCGCTGTCTTAGGTTGGTCTGGACGGCTACACTCTTACCCGTCTTTGGCTCTCAGGTTCTCTAGGGCTAAGTTGACCCATCCGGATGCCACTGGGGAGTCCTGGTCAAGTACCATGGAGCCAAGTACTTGCCTGACCGCAATAGCACGTTTTTTGTTTCGCCTCCGTAGCCGACGGAGAAACCATATGCCGAATGCACAAATAGCAACTCTGGGAGGAGTCCTCTAAACCAGGCAATGAGATCCTCACTTGTAACAGGGTAACCCGAGTGTTGTTAACAGTTATGAGCTGTCTCGCCAATTGAGAGGTCAGGTTCAGGAGCTGGTGGTTCTAAGGTCCTCTGATTACACTATTTAACCTATTTTCTTCCATAAACATATTTTTCACCATAACAGGAATTACACAAATAAAACTGTACAAAAAGTTACAATGCATGTGAGCAGTTAACAAAAGTGTGTATCTCTTTTTACATCAGCTATCTGCTAATTAAGCATCAAAAGTCCATTTCATAAATGTTCATTCATATCTTGCTATGTTGGTAACGCAAAAACAAACATTGGCAACTAGATTGTTTATAGTGTCAGCATTTGCAGCAGTTTGAGTGACGAATGGTGGCGGCAGCCGCGGCCACCACTATTGAAACAGCGACAACAGCTGCAGTGATGCCAAAATCACGTCTCCTCCTAGGTAGAACAGGAGAAAGATGTGCAGAAACATCCACGGGTATGACTAAAATAGAAGGTAGACAGCGATCATCGCTCTCTCCGCACTCCGGGCCCAGGAGGCAGAGAGGGGGCAAGTCTCCGCTGAACAGCTCAACCCAGTGGCATCTCCTGCATTATTGGGGAGGACAGAAAAGAAAGGAGGGGACAGACAGACAGCAGCAGACAAACTCTATAATCTATTATTCTGAATACTAACAAATTATTCAATGGTAGAACTAATGTTTACAGAATAAATGCCATTAAATAATTTCACCTCATCCTGGCCCAACGGGGCACTATCCAATGGCTTGGAAGCCAGACCAATAGTAAGATTAGTGGCAAATACTTGCGGAAAAGTGGAATCATGATGATCAATGAGGAGCAAAAACGGCAGCTGATGCACAATCGCCCATTGTACTAACATCTGGGACGCTTGTGTCATCAATGTTAGCAGGGTCAGGTATATTGACAAACTGAACCAATCGAGCAGGAACCCATCGGGGCGCTTCCACATCCTGTGGGAAAAGACAAATGCTGCCGGGCAGCTGTATTAGTACTGGTGCGGGTGGTTGCCACTCATTATTAACTGGGTCCTTCCATCTCGCTTGCAGCATCGTGACCTGCCGAGGGTCTGGCGACCAGTGCCGATCAGCAGCTGACCGCCCCTGGGTATCTAGGGTCAAAAAATTAAGGGTAAAGAGAGCTGTAGTCAAACAGTCCCTGGGGGAGTGTTCTCCCCCTGTTTGTTTTAAAAGCATAGTTTTCAGAGAACCATGAGCACGTTCAACTATACCCTGCCCCTGCGGATTGTATGGAATTCCTGTTTTGTGCACAATGCGATGGACCGCACAAAAGGAGGCAAAGGCCTTACTGGTATAACCAGGACCGTTATCTGTGTTAATGACACGTGGGCGGCCCATTACCGCAAACGCATGTAGCAAATGTGAGCGGACATCAGAAGTCTTTTCACCGCAATGTGGAGAGGCGAAAAGAAAACCAGAGAATGTGTCGATGGAGACATGTTCTCTAGTAAGCACCCCTTGAGGATCTGTCCCTTCCACGACTGGGTAAGCATAATTAGGAGCCTGGGAAACCAGGACTCTTTCCATCATAGAGCACAGTCTTTCCATTAATGGAAGATCAACCCTGTCGAGTGTTCTAGGAGGTGGCGCAGGAGGTGGCTCCCCAGGTGTTTTCCATCTCCTTTTACGCTTCCTTGGCTTATAACAACTGAAGCCTTTCTCATCCTGTTCCTCGTCTCCTCCCGACTCATCAGTAGAATAATCTAGGGGAGGGGCTGTTGGTATTTTTTGAGTAGAGGAAGGGGGACTTACCGATGTAGAACTCACAATGGAACTTCTATCTTCTTCCTCCGTTTGTCTCGCTGTCCTGACAGCCTCAGTGGCTAACTGAATGGCAGCAGTACCACAGGCATTAAGAGCATCTCCCACCACTCCCCAGACCGTCAAAGTAGTGCAAGGAAGAGACTCACGGCCATATAATTGCTGATGCAAGACAATATCTCCTTTCACCTTATTCCAATTTTCACTATCGACCTGATCCTGCTTCAGAAACCATTTACTAGTAATACTAAGGGTCTCTACAAATCCTTTAAGAATTTTTCTACTGAGAGGAACCCCAAACTCTTTTAGAAGAGCTTCCAGGGAAATAACTAACTGCCCCTTGGACATTGAATTGCCCATGAATCCCAGCTACCTTACCTTACTTTACTTTACTTGCCGGCTCACCACAGCTGGTCCTTCAGCGGTTCCTTCGTTCTTCTTCGTGCCCCGCGCTGGGCGCCACCTGTCCCGACCCGCGGGGTTCAGAGGCACGGGAAGAGAAGGGCTGAGGATTGAAATGAGGGGCTTGACGACTTGACGCTAGCGTTTACTTCTTTATTTTTCCTTTTACTACTTTTACATATCTTTCTTTTCCCTGACTTTCTTACTTCCCTGACCTTCTCTCTGCTCCTCTCGCAATAACCTCTCTCGCAGTAACCTCTCGCAATAATCTCCGACCTTCTCGTGGTTCTCCTCTTATATCCTGGTAGCTCCTCCCATCGTACCTCCCAGTCTCATTTGATTAATAGGAAACACCTGTGGTTTCTCAGCAGGCAAAACGGTAAAGCGAAAACTAATTAATGGCACGTGTGTTGCGCAACACGGCGCATGCTCCAGGCGGCTCCGGACAGCCTGCCATCAAATTTCCTCAGCTCCTGGCTTTCATGACAATATCCTCTCCATTATCACCTTTAATGTTAGATCTCTTTGCCCTTTATTTTTTATTGATTTTTTTCCAGTTGTATAGGGAATAACAAAATGACCTGACATATGTTACAGATTGTAAAATGTTTGCTACAGTATCTCTAGTCACTCTTTTCCACCATGCAGTTACAAAAACCTTTTTTTCTTAGGATGATAACTTTTTTTTTTTTTGAAGTGGGGGGAATGGGAATTTTTAAGATGTACCCTCTTTGTAACTTCAAATATTGACAATTCAAAACATTGTTATTAATTATAGTAATCAAGCTGTACATTACCTCCAGAACTTAGGTCCCATCAATTTAATTAAACTCATCCAGCTTTGGATTCAACTATTATCCATAAATTGATAACACTCAGACTTACCTCTTGGATCACCACTATCCTGAATTCCATTCTGCTTTTCAAAATATTCTCGTGAATGTCCCTAGAGTTCTCAAAATACCAAAAATCTAAAACCAAATTCGGTTGGTTTATCTTCCCTGACCTCTCTCCAAACTGTTTCTCTTTCACAGGTCCCTCCACCCATCCAAAATATACACCATCCTTCAAAATCCTACTTCCAAAATATTTCTCAAATTTATCTCTTACCTACTATTGCCACTCCCTGGGTCCAGGTCCCTTTAACCTGTTGAATAGACTATCTTAACAAATGCTGATTAACAAATTTCCTTTTCTCTTATATCAGATCCTTCTGCACATCCTCCACCTGTATGACAAAGTCATCTTTCTAAACAGCAAATCTCAACACCTCTCTAACTTAAAATCTTTAGTATTTCCCATTGCCCACACATAAAGTCCAATTTCTAAGTATGTAACAGGTGGCCCTTTATGACCTGGCTCTTTCTCACCTCACAGGTATCATTTCTTGAATCTTCTGCAATCTTGTCCTGGTCTTCTGAAATCTTTGTCATCTCCATTTGCTATATGACAACTTGATGAAGTTGCACTAGGATGCCCTTTTCTAGAAAGTTCCCCCTTATTTTCTAATGATTTAAATCCCATTCATCCTTCAAGGTTCATTTCCCAAAACTTCTTCCCTGCTACATGGTCCCTGGCCTTCCTTCTATTCCCATCTAATGCCCCCAAACCTGGGACACACCTCTAGTCTAACATATTATCCACCCATATTGTAGTTTTCTTATTATCTGAGCTTTTTTGAGGAAAGGAATTACAATTTGCCTATCATTACAACACAATGCCTATCAGTAATACATGGATCTGGCTCTGACCACTTGCTTCAAATTCAATAGCATCTGCCTGGTTTTTCAACCTATTACCTTCCACCTAGATTCTCCCTCTCTGCTTAGTGTAACTGGCTTGACAATCCAATTAGATGGTCTACCCATTTTGGTAAAGGCTAGGCCAAGATGGCAGCCTGTGAATTCCTCTATTCAGCTCCACACTGAGATGGGGATGTCATGGGGCCCCGGGTTCCCAGGTGAGAAATCCAGACCAGCACCATGAGTGCCCCCTCTTAGGATGAGAGAGAAAGGAGAGGGAGGGAGAGGCTGGGCATTCTTTTCTCATTATCTCATGTCCTAATAGCAATGTTTTAGAAAATAACTCTCAATCAAGGTAGCAGGTACATTGCTGACAAGCGTTATCACACTGCTGACAGCGTGGAAAATCATGGAGTGAATTGGAGGAGCTATTGGGAAATAGAGAAGTATGGTTTGAAGAAAAATTAACTAAATTGCTCTCACCCAGCATTCCTCTGTGTCTAATGTGATGCAATTGGAGGAATGGGCTGTATGAAGTCAGATCAAACTGTCATCTATTATTCAGTTTTGCTAGATTGTTGCTGAAATGCACATGAAGGCAAGTATCTAATTAAATACTAGACTATCATCTATTCTTGTCTTTGAAACAGAATGAATGCTGTTGTAGTTTTTGCAGATTATTTGTTTAATGTGAAAGTCAAATAACTAAATACTTAGTTAAACAGGGTATGTAATGGAATAAAGTATAAGAACACACTGCATGCTTCCAGTCAAGGTTCAGTAGTCTAATATCAAATATGCTAAAATGAAGCATGTAAATTAAAAATTTGTCATTGTTAGAAAAACAATCATTAAATATTCTCTAGACTTTGTCCCTAAACAATAATGTAGAATTAAGCATCTGTCGGGTTTGTCATGAACTCAGAGAGAATGTGTTTAAGGAACTCATAACTATTACACCTAGATTACAGGCCTTTTTCTGATTACATGGTTGAGGCTGCCAGAATATTTACCAGCACCCTGCAACATAGAAAAGGGTGGGTGTGATTATTATTGCTCCCAAATCAGAAAAAAAAAAAACTTTAAAGATTTATTTTTTATTTATACAATAGCTGGGGTACAGGCCAGAGATGTGGGAGTGTGAGAGGATTCACCAGAGACAGAGATGGGAGCAGAACAAGCAGACAGACCGAAAGCACTGCTGAGGGGAGCAGCAGGCACAACAGGAGAGGTCTGCCGCACCATGTGGGAATCTGCCTGGCCCGCCAGGAATCAAACCCATGCTGCAGAGGCTGCGGACAGCTTCACAGCGCAAAATTGAGATAATATAAGTTCCCTTCCAATTCTAGTTTGAGACCTGTTAACAGAACTCATTTTCTGTTCTTTTTTTAAAAAGATTTATTTTATTTATACAAGAACCAGGATACAGGCCAGAAGCGCGGGAGGGTGAGAGGATTCACCAGAGACAGAGCAGGGAACAGAACAGGTTCTGTTGAAATACACTGGAACTGATGAAATACACTGCTGAGGAGAGCAGCAGGCGAGACAGGAGAGATCTGTCGCATCATGTGGGAGTCTCATTGGCCAGCCGGGATCGAACCAGTGCTGCAGAGGCTGTGGACAGCTTCACAGTGTGGCACTCAACCCACTGCGCCACAGGGGAGGCCCCATTATCTGTTCTCTATGATTAATCATTGTACTTGTTCCTTCCACCTCGACTCACAAGTCCAATTATATATAGTACAGAAAGCACGTGGATTCTGAAGTCAGAGGACTTGAGAACTTGAGTCAGAGAACTTGAGAGTTAGCCCTGTAACCCTTGATGACTGTGCAAGGCAGGAGCTGCTCAGGATGAGACGGTGCCCCTGGAACTGGGCAGTGTGCCACCGTGGTGCACTTGACTTACCTACTCTCTCCAAGATTCAGTTTCTTCATCTGTAGAAATGGGGCACTAACAGGGGCATCCAGCGTTATCTCCCTAAATGGATCATTGTGATACTACATGAGATAAAGCTTGGAAATGTTTAGCATTGGACATGGTGCTAAGTGCTTGCAAGTGTTAAGAATTATGATGATGTCTCTATTTCAGCTGGGTTAGTCTCAAGTCTAGCTTTGTATGACAATATGCCGCCACAGCTTTTGCACTTTGGCCAGTCACCTGAGTATTTATTTTATTTTTTTTTAATTTAATTTTATTTTTTTTAATAGAGGCATGTTTTATTTATTTATTTGTTTGTTTTGTTTATACATGCACTGGGTACAGTCAGAAGCGCGGGAGGGTGAGAGAATTCACCAGAGCCAGAGCGGGGAGCAGAGCAGGCAGAAGGACCAAAGTACACTGCTGAGGGGAGCAGCGGGCGGCAGGAGAGGTCTGCGCGCCATGTGGGACCCTCCTCTGGTGGCCGGGGAGCAGCCGGGGATTGAACCAGCGCCGCAGAGGCCGCGGGCAGCTTCGCAACCCAGGGCTCTACCGCTGCACCACCGGGGAGGCCCCACCTGAGTATTTATGGACAGAGCATAAGCATTTGAAACAGCAGTGATCCCTTGTAAAAATCCTTATTATCTGGGTTGGGAAACCATCTGAGAAGTGAAGTGAGAGAAGAATAAAAGTCTTTCCAGAGATCTAGAGTCACCTAATTTTGGAAGCCCAAGGTTAGGTTAGTTTTAATTCATGCATTTATGAGGTTTTTTTACTTTTGATTATGATGTATATGATTTCCTGTGTTCCTTTGATAGGAATGTAGAGAGAACTCATTTGAAAATTCTGTAAAATTAAGAGGTTGGCTGCTTTTCTAAGAATGAAGAAAGGTGAAGACGTAGCATGAGACAAATGTGGCAATGATAATTTGAACTCCACACTGACACTGCTCATTCTGCTAAGATTTCATAAAACTATAACTCATGTATTCTTAGAAAAGCTTTCCCACTAAGGGGAATTAATTTATTGGGTCTTACTGTCCTCTCCCTCCAAAGGCAGAATCACTGAATGAAAGTGTAAACTTGTATACTCAAGAGTTCTATAGCAGGTAGACTTTGTTAAAGAATTTTATATTTTATGATTCTTTATAACTATAAAATGCCATATTGCAACAGGGTGGTCCCCAGGAAAGGGGGAGGTTCCCTGCCCCACCCAAGGGAGGGTGGAACTGAGCAGGAAGGGGAGAAGCTGAAGAGGAGACTGAGGAAGGAAGCAGGATGGAGCCAGGAGACCTGGAGGAGGCGCATGGAGCCTAGAGACACGTGAAGAAACTGTGCTTGTCTTTTGGTCGTGGACTGGGTGACACAGATGTGGGTGAGACCCATGGGGAGGTGACAATGGCAGCTTTTATCTTGATGTTGATTTTGCTCTTTTCCTTCCGGGCTTGTCCGGTTGTTTGTGACCCTTTTCTGTGGGTCCCCACTGGAAGATGCTTTAGACTTGTGGCAGGCTTTGGGGCCTTATTCTGGGCCATACCCATATGGATGGACTTTTACCCACGAGGGGACGGGTAACTTTGGGTGCTTCACTTAGAAACTAGACTCTTTGCCTTACCTGTATTGTTTCCTAGTTTTATTAAAGTTCCTTCCCATTAAAGTCTCATGTGTTTTGTGTTGATGCGGCGGATGGCAGAACCCATTTAGAATAGGCAGGTTTGCGGGGTTTGGGCTGCCCCTCTCCCTGTCCTATAACAATATTACTAAGAACAAAGCCATTTCTTC